TGATGCAAGAATAACATCACCTCATCGCGCAGTTCAAATAGACGGGTGAGAACTTTCCCACGCGACAGCCAGCGAACTTCAGTATGAAAAAGCAGTTTTGTGTGTTCACTTCCCATTTCTTCACACAGAGCTTTAAAAAGACGTGTGTTCAGTGCTTTGGTTTTTATTGTATTCACAATTTTCACAGACTGGTCCAGTACTGATTTGAGGCATGGTGGCATTTTCTTCACAGCCAGCTGTTCTCTGTGAATGCAACAGTGTGTTGCTGTGGCGCAAGGTGCAACTGCGCGTATGCGCGCTGCCAGTCCCTTATGTTTTCCAGTCATTGCAGTCGCACCATCTGTGCAAATACCAACACATCGTGTCCAGTCGATATGATTCTGCACCATGAAATTGTTGACCGAGTCAAAAATGGCTTCCCCTGTGGTGTTGGTCGGCAAGGAACGACAAAAAAGAAATTCATCCTGCACACCGCCAGCATGAATATACCTTACAAAACACAGCAGATTTGCCTCGTTCCCGATATCAGTTGACTCGTCCAGCTGCAGTGTGAAAAACTGGCTTTGGCGTAAACGTGTGATCAGCTGATTTTTCACATCTTCAGCCATGGCTGTTATTCGCCGCTGGACAGTGTCATTAGAGAGTGGGACCCTGTTAATTTCGTCACTTGCGGTCTCCCCAAACAATATGTTAGTCATAACTTTGGCAGCTGGTTTGACTAAATTCTCACCTATCGAATGAGGTTTTCCTGCTTTTGCAATTAGAAGGGATACCCTGTATGATGCCTCTGTAGCCTTCGCATTTTCCCCCGGTAAAAAAAACTGTGAGGGCGCCTTCGTCATTTGTTTCTTAAATTCATCAAGTTTTCTCTCAAAAACTCCCAAATGTTTCCCAATGTAATCCTTGTGTTTACTTTCAAAATGTCGCTTGAGCTTGGCAGGTTTCATAGCCTCGTTCGCCAACGACTCGTAGCACAAAACACATTGTGGATTGGGATCCTCTTCATCTCCACTCCAAAAAAAAGCCAAATTTGATGTAGTCGCTGTGATATTTTCTCTTCACTTTAGCGCTGGACTTTCTGCATTCAAGCCGAGTTTCACAGCTTTCAGCCGGGTGGTTATTAGACAGTGAACCACTCTCCTGGGACTCAGTAACGCACACAAAAGCACTTGTTGCTGCTGAATCACCTGCATCAGGACGATGCACCTTGACTGTTGCATCCGATTTTTCATTTAATTTTCTTTTAACTGACCCTGTCTTTAGCCATCGATCCATCTTGTCAGTTGACCGTTCTTTTGTTTATTTTTTTTAGTTGACCGCTCAAATTGACCGCGCAGATTATTTATGACATAAGACGTAAAACAAACGTACGTACCTACATACCTACGTACATACACTACATCTATGATACACTCTATACTAGTAATTTTTTAACAGTTTGAGAAACACTTTAAACTTATAATATATATGAATTTCAAATGTGGCATTTTACCAATATACTCACGGACCACTTGGGGCCGCTCGCGGACCACCAGTGGTCCGCGGACCACTCTTTGAGAAAGACTGCCTTAGGGCAACAGTATGCTGTAGAGGGTTTTAAGGATCAAAAAGATCTTGCCAAGTCACTATTTCAAAACTAAAAAGGCTTAATCTGATGCAGATAAAGTATCATACATTTCTGACGGCAGGATACACATGGAGACCGTTTTAAACATTTAGGTTAACCAAACACATTGAATTAAATGAGGAAACATACAGAGAGAAAATAAACTGTAATTCATCTTTAAAGATCATGTAATGCAATATTCTACATGGGAATTATGGTTACTTGTGGACCCATTGCAATTTATGTTTTCTTATGGATTAAGCAACCTAAATGTTCAAAGACATATTATAAGACAAGAAATCTTGTTTAAAATGTAGATGTAAAAATTGACCTGTTTCTTCCTGCTTCCAGTGTTCATGCTAAGCTAACCGTTAGCTGGGAATACGTAATAGGGAATGGGAATGTGACGTCATCAACTCTAAATCGTCCATTTTTGGAGGGTATTAGCAACCTGCGACTGCAACCTATTAACTTAAACTAACAGAGAAACGAGGGAGACGTAGCAAACATCAGCAGGAGAGGCTGAATGTGTTGGATGTCAGCCACCTGCTAAACCACAGTAACACAAACTACTACACTGCAGGAATATGATTTAAAACATGAAATATGGCAGTATACGTACATATACATGGAGATGAAATATCAATAATGGGATGATGTTTTGAAACCCTCAGTTAGCATAGCATTAGCTGTCTTATCTCTGTCGGGATGACTATAGTTGTCATTAAACCTGTAGATGTCATTTATTATATTATAACACTGTTTCTGACTAGTGCTTCTCTTTGTAAGGGCGTTTATATTTGTGCACATACTTAATTCATTTTGGATGCAAACCCGCTGATAGGTAGCGGTGGGTATTGTCCACAGTAATGACTGTTACATGTCTGATATGTGTAATGTGTATTTGTAAAGCGCTTTGAGCACCTGGAAAAGCGCTTTAATAAAAATGTAATTAATTATTATTATTATTATTATTATATTGATGAATGTTGCTATTGCTATAGAAGCTATCCTCCACAGATGCACAGCAGCTCCCACTCCAAAGTGGTATTGAGATTCCAAAATATCAAACAATTTCTTTAAAAAGTCATTAAAGTAAAGTTTCTGCTCTGCGGCAGAAAACAAATGATTAAACTTGACTTTTCCTTGTTTAGTTTGGAGGCCATGCTAGCAGCCAGATTTCATTATGGAAAAAACATTAATTAAGTAATTATGGACGAAGGCTCTGCTGCATTTAGGTGCCAGCAAAGCAATACAGTGAGTATGCAGTTGTAGACCTCAATTGAATCAAGCCATGATTTATATGAATGAAACCATGGCTTTTCCTGTTAACACATTTTAAAGTGTGTCCACCTAATTAAAAGTTGTATGGTCCAGCTATCTGATCATGCATGGTAAATGCAGACGGTTGACACCTGTTTTATAGGGTCAAACTGAAGTCAAGTCAAAGTCAACTTTACCGTCAATCTTTCCGTTTGTGTGTACAGACAGAGAGATTGAAATACAGTACTTGAAGAATTGAACTTGAAAATTGTGTAAACTGTGTAAACCCTGGTTGACTTAGCCCAGTGGTATGAATTCTCGAAAGCCCCACGGACCCTTCAGTGGATCCGAAACCACAACATCTGCAAGCAACAGTGTCTGAGGGCTTCTTCAGATTTAATAAACTATGAATGTTTCATATCCATGTAACGGGAAAAAACTCAGCTAACTGATTTTTTTTATTTTTAGCAAAAAAAAACAAGACTAACGCTGAGCGAAAAAATTCTAACACCGTTAACACAGAACTCATGGTATAACACCCTTATTACTTATCGTAACTGCACATCCAACCCATCGATTAGCATCGTGAGATTACACAGATTTGATAGGTATCTGTATCATCACTCCATGATCAGAACTCGCGACATGAGAAACAAAAACAGACATCACAACACGTGGCATTAGGTAGCCAACACGGCAATATGTCTTACCTTCGTTGTTGTCTGATCAAAAGTTGTCTTCAATGGCATTAAAACGATAAAAACGCTGCTGAAGGTTAATCCATAGGTTAATCCAATGTGTCTGTGTCACTTTTGAATGATTTCTGATAATCCATCAGCAATAAACCTAGTTTTAAGTTTTCAGACTTCAGAGCGTAAATTAGGCTTCGCTTTGGGCAAACTGCGTGCGCATAGCTATCACTTCTCAATGGTAACGTGTGTGGAAATTCCCCTTCGATTATATTGGCTCTAACGGTTCAAAAGAGATGTCAATCATCACAATTGACCAATGGGTTCCAGAGAAACGGCAAATATGCCCATTTCCACCCAAATGACCCCAGAGGTGGAGTTTATTTTGCTAAACCTCTCTAAAAAGGTCAAATATCACTTGTTTTGCATCAATCTTAATACAGGGTACTTATTATATGTTGTACTTTGGATTCCTAAAGCTTTTAGTCTACCTTACCATCATCCAAGGGTGGTTTTAACTATAAGTAAAAAAGAAATTTTGGACGGACACTATAATTTACAGTTTTTTACTATGCTCAATCTGAATTTACTTTAAAATAAAAAACATCTATATTGATTCTGACTTTTCTACATCCAACTCACAGGTGTATCATTACTTGGAGAAAAAAGATTATTAATGTACCCCTTTTAGAAGTGAAGTTATTGTCATTTGTTGTGGAAAGGTCATTTTCGAGCCTGAGACCTGAAAAACAGGCTTGGGGCTTAACAGGTGTGGAGTTGCGTCAGATTGCTTAGGAAGATTCCAATCTGAGGGAAATGACCCAGAAGAACCCAACTGTCAGCCATGTCAGCTGTTTGAACTCTCAGAAGATAAGGAAAGGAGCTTCAGCTTTCCTTTAGTATCTCCTTTAGCCTTGGACCATCCTTTGCGAGAATAGGATAATTGCTGTCCCACAGTAAAATGGAACTTTATAATGTAAAAAAAATAAAAATCTTCCCGGAGTAGCATGCTCCTGGAGCCCGTTAGGATCTGAGGTCCAACCCCCACACACAATTAAACGTATATGGACAGAAAAAGGGGAACTATATTCGACTTCTGGACTTTGCTGAACCCCGGATGTACATAGACTGTTTGTATAAGTATAGTACAAACACATAGGTGTTGAAGTACTCATGAAGTTTTCATACTACAGTGTACAAATATTTGTTACATGTAAAAGTCCTGCTTACAAAGTCTTGAGACTTGAGTAAAAGTACAAACATACTGCTGCTCGATATCTTTACCTATAATGTGATATCATAGTTTATGTATTAGTTTCTTTATATTTTGTATTAGTTCATAATGTGAATATGTAAAGTAACTAACTATAACTACATACATAGGTAGGCTATATATGGTACAGTGTAGCTCCCCTGTGGTTTCTTAAGGGGCGTGCCAGGAAGTCCGCTGCGCGTGCCCGTGAGTCACGTCCGGATTGAGGAAGTACTAAGTTTGGGTCTCTGTTATACAGACAGATAATGACGGCTGTGTTCGAAAACGGTATGAAATGACGCTGTCACGATGCTTCTCGGTGTCCTGTGCATTCTAGTCGTCCCCCGGGGTAAGTCATGAGTTAGCTTTAACAATTTGAACTAACCCTGTGCTGGCAACATCCTGTATCCTCACTTCACCCAGGCTAACGCTAGCTAAGCAAACAGGCTCCCTCCCTTAGCTCTAATCACAGCCGTGTTTAAGGAAAGAGCTGTTAGCTAGCTATTCACTGTAAAACTACACAAGCTCTAACACTATGTCAGGGTTTCCCACACATAGACTTTACTTGGGCTGGCCGCCCAGGTATATTAACGGCCACCCAAGTATATTTCGCGACCCATTTAGTTGATCCCTCGCTCTACGCCTCCTGTACCCAGTCCCGGACTGGCCTGGCCTGTTAAGTGGCCTGCCTCACACAGGGTGACTGGCTGTCTACATGATGTGGCCTGCCTCACACAGGGTGACTGGCTGTCTACATGATGTGGCCTGCCGACATGGCCACTGTCATACAGATCATAAATCAAAGCCCTTGATTGGTCTGTGTGTCATTCAAGCTCGGGATAACCTCAGCTCAGGTGAGGTGAAGGACTCTGAGTGTTTAGATAGTTAACTTAGTCTAAGTTCTCAGTGGGTCTCAAACGGTGTGGTCACCATTTATGTAAACACATATTTCCATTTGAGAGGGTAGTGATCAGTAAACATGCATGAATAAAAAAATAAAAAAAGTTAACTAGGTGAAAAAAGGTAAGATACACTTTTAAAACTAGTCTTTGCTGCTGCCTCAAAGAGGAGCAGGGGGAGAGGGGGGAGACAGGAGAGGCTGGTTCAGGAGCACAGACACACTCACAACTATAAATGAACCAAAAATAAATAAATAAACAAGTTTTAGTGTTTTTTTCATATTGGAAATGGTATGTTATTGGTTATGGCCATGATTTTATGATTATTGAAATGTATACAGTTCTGTTTCATATAGGTGTTTCCATAGATCTAGTCTCTTTATTTCCCCCTCAAAATGCACCAGATTGATGCATTTAACTCCAAAATAAAAATCTTACCCCCCTAGAGGATTTGAGGTCCACCCCCAATCATATGCATAGGTTCCTAAATACATTTATAATTTTTTTTAAATAGTAACCCATGTCCATATGTTTATTTGTGGGTAGTACATTTAAACTATAGGGCTGTCACTATGGGCCCTGCCTGTACCTGTTCGCTCTGCCATCGCGTGAAGGGTCTGCCAACAAGCGACCAACAGAAAGGTTCATGTTGTTGCACGTCACAAAGGCACGTCACCTCACAGAGGATTTAGACGTAGTGTTTACATTGTATAACTCCACACACCTTTTCTCCTCTTACTCTCTTTCATAACTTTTTATTTAATGCATTTTAACGGCTGCAATCGTTGTTAACACAAAACCGGAAGTTAACCTCACTGTTGACATTCGGAGACTTCTTCCGGTAAAGCTTTTCAAAATAAAGCATTTAGCATCAACGTTAGCCGCAGACGAATGCTAACCGGAAATGTTTTCACAATAAAACCGTTTTAAGTTTACTGTATGTTTAAACTAAATTACGTCATTAAACATTGATTTTAATTTCTTACAATACCATGGTAATATCTGAGGTACCATGGTAATATCTGAGGTACTAAGGCATGTATCATAGTAATATCTGAGATACCATGGTAATATCTGAGATACCATGGTAATATTTGTTTGTTTTGCCCTGTTCTTCCTTGTAAAGCGACCTTGGGTCTCATGAAAGGCGCTATATAAATCCAAGCTATTATTATTATTATTATTAATATCTGAGGTACCATGGTAATATCTGAGGTACTAAGGCATGTATCATAGTAATATCTGAGATACCATGGTAATATCTGAGGTACCATGGTAATATCTGAGGTACTAAAGCATGTATCATAGTAATATCTGAGATACCATGGTAATATCTGAGGTACCATGGTAATATCTGAGGTACTGAGGAATGTATCATAGTAATATCTGAGATACCATGGTAATATCTGAGGTACCATGGTAATATCTGAGGTACTAAGGCGCTTTCACACCGGAGTACTTTTCCCGTACTTTTCCCAGAAATAGTTCCGATAGTTCTTGGGATGTTGTTGTTTTTTTCGGGAACCTTTTCACCCCTTTTTATTCCCTGCTAGAGAGCAGGTACTTTCCTGGGGAGAAAAAGGTTCCAATTTCTGATTGCTGGGCGAATTGCAAACCACGGCCCGTAAAACTCTGAAAAGTTTTTGTGAAGCCGCCATTTTATTTCCTCGCATTAGCATTAGGGTTGCCAGAAACTGACCATGATCAAAATCGATTATTCGGCAACCCTGGTGAATAATAATCGATTATTCGACCGACCCAACATTTCGATTCCAACGGCATCATTTAGAAATGTGAATTTCGGTTCCGCTTTTCGATGCCTGAGGAAATGTTTCTCGCCGCTCTCCGTTGCCTACTGTATGACTGCGGCGGGGCGGGAAATGTAGCGTTGTACCCAGGGCCGTATCCAGGATTTCCTAAATACCAAGGTCCAAACATGCTAGGGGGTTTCGGGGGTATACCCGCCGATATTTTTGGGGATTTTCATGATCTATTTAGGTGCTTTTTAAGTCTTGTGGGGGGTCACAAATTGGATAATATATTGATTTCAAACCAAGTCAGTGGGCTGCACCATAAATTAATACATAAGTATCAGTTGATTGTTACTATTAATGATCTGGACATGCAGAAGGCAAGGCAAGTTTATTTATATAGCACTTTTCTGTATGCGACAATTCAAAGTGCTTTACAAAACAAATTAAAATACTTTTTAGGAATAAATTAGGGCTGTCAAACGATTACAATTTTTAATCAGATTAATCACAGCTTAAATTAATTAATCATGATTAATCACGATTCGAACTATGTCCAAAATATGCCATTTATTTATGTATATTGTTGTGGGAATGGAAAGATAAATGAAAGAAGGCGGATATATCCATTTCACATACAGTATCTATGTTTATTATAAAAAAAATTCTGTGTGTCAAAATGAAAGACAACCCACACACCTATCAATCATCAAACCGTGGGGTCTTAATTCATTACGTGTTGATTTCTATCAACGGGGGAGTACTTCAGGAAAGTCGACAGAGGGGGGGGGGGGGTCAGCTGAACGTTGTGATCAGCTGTTTTAGCGCAGTTCTCCAGTGAAGGGGGGGGGGGGGAGTCTCCCTCCGCAGCCGGTTGGCGTAGTTTTGGCACAAGTCCGTTGTACAGACCGACGTTAACAGCAGCCCTGTCTGTGCACACGGAGACCGACTCTGTCGTCCGGTGATCTAACCGCCTTCTGGAAAAGCTTCACAAGTACGTCGGTACGCAAATGTGCTTTGTGACACAAGTGACGGTACGCATTTCAGAGAGATTACGCACATAACCTGCGTACCAGTTATGTGCACCCCTGTACTACAGCAAAAGTATTCTCCGTCGGGACTTCCTGCAACAACACCACGCCGTTATCAAAGATGTTCTATTGAGAAGACGATCACTACGTGACAAAAGTTTTCAAAACCGTGGCTACTGAAATCAATCTTACTAACTGCTGTCTGTGCAATTTACTCCGCGCGAGTTGGCAGACTTTATTTTGCTTACTTTAACATCATTTTTCATGGTGGGGCTAAGCCATTTCTTGGTATGGGTGTAGCCTACCCCAGCCATACCCTGGCGCTGCCACTGGTGGCACGTATGGGGCGGGCCATTCTGCACATGCGTTAAATGCGTTAAATATTTTAACGCAATTAATTCAAAAAATTAATTACCGCCGTTAACGCAATAATTTTGACAGCACTAGAATAAATACATTAAAAACACATTATACAATTGTACAACAGACATTACGAAGCAAAGATAATAAAAATAAACACCACAGGTAAACAATACATGTTTAAAAGGCATACTGTAGTTTGAATATGAGCATCTCAATTCAAAGCAGCGGCAAAGAGATATGTTTTTAGTCTCGATTTAAAAGCGTTTCTGCGGACGTGCATGCTTTGGGTAGTTTGTTCCAGAGTGTCGGGTCATAACAGCTAAACGCTGCCTCTCCATGTTTTGTTGTTACTCTCGGAGCCGATAGCAGACCCGTCCCAGAAGACCTGAGGCACCTTGATGGCTCGTAATTATGTAGGAGTTCAACAATATACTTTGGTCCTAAACCATGTAATGATTTAAAAACTAGCAATAGTACTTTAAAATTAATTCTTTGACTGACTGGAAGCCAATGTAGAGATTTCAGAACCGGACTGATGTGATCCACTCTGTTAGTGTTAGTGAGGACACGTGCAGCAGCGTTCTGGATCAGCTGCAGCTTTCTGATGGATTTTTTTGTCAGCCCTGTGAATACACTTTTGCAGTAGTCGAGTCTACTGAAAATAAAAGCATGGACAAGCTTTTCTAAGTCCTGTTGTGACATTAGTTTTTTAATCCTCGATATATTCTTCAGGTGATAGTAAGCAGACCTAATGACTGTTGTAATGTGACTGTTGAAGAGGCTAAAATGATCACAAAACATTGTCAACATTCACTTTCCATGTATCTCTCCTTTCCATAACCTGCAGCCTCTCTTCCATCTTCTTGAGTCTCTCTGTCTTCTTCCTGTTCATTACTCTCTCTGTCCTCTACTCTTTCTCTTTGTTCAATCTCTCCCTCGTTGTTCACTGTTTGCTCCTCCTCACTTGTCGCTCCTGCCAGTGAATTAAAAGCAATTCAGCTATTTAGTTCATTTCACTCGTTTGTTTGCATTCTTTTTTTATTTAAATCTGTTTTGTTTGATTCTCAAAAGAGAACAAAGATGTAAGCAAATTGTGTTTTATACAATTGTATGTTATTATGACATAACTGCAATAGATGTATGTTGTTTAAAATAGATAGGGTTATTAAGCCTACATTCTTCTGTGTGACTGCAGTAAGGTAAGTGATCGGAGAGCTAGAGAGAGAGAGAGAGAGAGATGAGCAGAGGAAGATGAGAAGAGAGAGAGAGAGAGAGAGAGAGAGAGAAGAGAGGAGAGAGAAGTAGATGATGTAGATAGCTATATCTATCTACGCTCTCTACTCTCTCCTCTCGATCTTCTTCTCTCTCTCTCTCTACTCTCTCTCTCTCTCTATCTCTCCTCTCTCTCTCTACTCTCTCTCGTCGTCTCTCTCTCTCTCTCTCTCTCTCTCTCTCTCTCTCTCTCTCTGTCTCTGTCTCTGTCTCTGTCTCTGTCTCTGTCTCTGTGTTGTCTTGGTCTGTGTCTGTGTCTGTGTCTCTGAAGCTGAGCTTCGACTGGCGTAATCGTTTCATTATATCTGAGTCAGTGTAAAAAGAAAACAATACAATGTTATATCTTCAATGTTTTACTCAAATTGAAATGAAAGAAAAACATTACAACGTTTGTTAAAAGTTAATCCTGACATTGGATGAATGTAATTAACTTTAGCTCTCTAGCTAGTTTATTCACGCAATTTAAACCAAAGTATAGCCTATAGCTGCAATATCAGTTCGTGTGCATGTTGTCGGACGTCCACTGACTAACGTAGAGCGTTCACACAGGATCTGCTGGTCATATGATGTCCTGATGAACAGAAACACAAGCAGCCCGCTGGACTCAGATCTCTAGATACCTCATCACTCCTCCTCTGGACTCAGATCTCTAGATACCTCATCACTCCTCCTCTGGACTCAGATCTCTAGATACTTCATCACTCCTCCTCTGGACTCAGATCTCTAGATACCTCATCACTCCTCCTCTGGACTCAGATCTCTAGATACCTCATCACTCCTCCTCTGGACTCAGATCTCTAGATACTTCATCACTCCTCCTCTGGACTCAGATCTCTAGATACCTCATCACTACTTCACTCCTCCTCTGGACTCAGATCTCTATATACCTCATCTCTCCGCTGGACTCAGATCTCTAGATACTTCATCACTCCTCCTCTGGACTCAGATCTCTAGATACCTCATCACTCCTCTGCTGGACTCAGATCTCTATATACCTCATCTCTCCGCTGGACTCAGATCTCTAGATACCTCATCACTCCTCTGGACTCAGATCTCTAGATACCTCATCACTCCTCTGGACTCAGATATCTAGATACCTCATCACTCCTCCTCTGGACTCAGATCTCTAGATACCTCATCTCTCCTCTGGACTCAGATCTCTAGATACTTCATCACTCCTCCTCTGGACTCAGATCTCTAGATACCTCATCACTCCTCCTCTGGACTCAGATCTCTATATACCTCATCTCTCCTCCTCTGGACTCAGATCTCTAGATACCTCATCTCTCCTCCGCTGGACTCAAATATCTCGATACCTCATCACTCCTCCTCTGGACTCAGATCTCTAGATACCTCATCACTCCTCCGCTGGACTCGGATCTCTAGATACCTCATCACTCCTCCTCTGGACTCAGATCTCTAGATACCTCATCACTCCTCCTCTGGACTCAGATCTCTAGATACCTCATCACTCCTCTGGACTCAGATCTCTAGATACCTCATCTCTCCTCTGGACTCAGATCTCTAGATACCTCATCTCTCCTCTGGACTCAGATCTCTAGATACCTCATCACTCCTCCTCTGGACTCAGATCTCTAGATACCTCATCTCTCCTCTGCTGGACTCAGATCTCTAGATACCTCATCACTCCTCCTCTGGACTCAGATCTCTAGATACCTCATCTCTCCTCTGGACTCAGATCTCTAGATACCTCATCTCTCCTCTGCTGGACTCAGATCTCTAGATACCTCATCACTCCTCTGCTGGACTCAGATCTCTATATACCTCATCTCTCCTCTGGACTCAGATCTCTAGATACCTCATCACTCCTCCTCTGGACCCAGATCTCTAGATACCTCATCACTCCTCCTCTGGACTCAGATCTCTAGATACCTCATCACTCCTCCTCTGGACTCAGATCTCTAGATACCTCATCACTCCTCCTCTGGACTCAGATCTCTAGATACCTCATCACTCCTCCTCTGGACCCAGATCTCTAGATACCTCATCACTCCTCCTCTGGACTCAGATCTCTAGATACCTCATCACTCCTCTGGACTCAGATCTCTAGATACCTCATCTCTCCGCTGGACTCAGATCTCTAGATACCTCATCACTCCTCCTCTGGACTCAGATCTCTAGATACCTCATCACTCCTCCTCTGGACTCAGATCTCTAGATACCTCATCACTCCTCCTCTGGACTCAGATCTCTAGATACCTCATCACTCCTCCTCTGGACCCAGATCTCTAGATACCTCATCACTCCTCCTCTGGACTCAGATCTCTAGATACCTCATCACTCCTCTGGACTCAGATCTCTAGATACCTCATCTCTCCGCTGGACTCAGATCTCTAGATACCTCATCACTCCTCTGCTGGACTCAGATCTCTAGATACCTCATCACTCCTCTGGACTCAGATCTCTAGATACCTCATCTCTCCGCTGGACTCAGATCTCTAGATACCTCATCACTCCTCCTCTGGACCCAGATCTCTAGATACCTCATCACTCCTCCTCTGGACTCAGATCTCTAGATACCTCATCACTCCTCTGGACTCAGATCTCTAGATACCTCATCACTCCTCCTCTGGACTCAGATCTCTAGATACCTCATCACTCCTCTGCTGGACTCAGATCTCTAGATACCTCATCACTCCTCCTCTGGACTCAGATCTATAGATACCTCATCACTCCTCTGCTGGACTCAGATCTCTAGATACCTCATCACTCCTCCGCTGCTCCGGTACAAGTCCGGGCTGCGGTGGTTTGTTGATACATGTCGTCTTCTTCTGTTTGCTTTAATCGAGGCTACGTAGTTAGGCAGCGCCCCATCGTCAGTAAATGGAATACTACAAAGAACCCCGTTTAGTAGGGATGGGTATCGTTAAGGTTTTAATGGTACTACTATTATCGATACCGCTTATCGATACGGTCTTTTAACGGTACTCTTATCGGTTGTTTTGGAGAAAAAAAGAAGGTAAACTAACTAAACAAATTGTGAACAAAACTAACATTGCTTTTTATTTAAATTAAATAAATAATATTTCACATCAAAAGAAACAACAATGTTTTAACAAATCGTATTAAATAATGTGATGACAGAACTGAAAACAGAATAGCTGAAACTTTAACAAAATAAATAACTCAGTCACCTCTAATCATTAACCCATGTTTGTATAATGTAGTTAACTCCGTGTGTTGCTGCTAGCATACATAACACCTGACGTGGAAACATTACTCGTGGATGGGGCTACAGAGCTGCTAGAAAGACAGTCGAACCCGGTGCATTCCTCCGTCTGAATGTGGAGCACCTTTTGCTAAATGTTTAGACAAATTGCTCGTGTTACCGCCCTTACATGCTAAACTCTTATAGAACTTTTGGTAACGAGTATTGTCCACATCGAGACGGCTATAGTTTAACCACCTCGGAGCGCGTTTTCTCCGCCATCTCCTCCGTGTGTGTGTGTTGCTGCATGTAGCAGCTGCGTGTGTGTAAACTGCCCCGCCGGTTCGGAGCTAGAGCCTGATAAGCACCGTGTTTTCCTGTTCACACCGCAGCGGAGCCGGCTCTAAGCACCGAAAACCGGTGCTTACCAAGCACCCAAACATTGTCGGTCTAGAAGGCAAGGCAAGGCAAGGCAAGTTTATTTATATAGCCCTTTTCAACACAAGGCAATTCAAAGTGCTTTACAAAAAATGAAAGAGATTAAGAAAATGGCATTTAAAATCAGTCATTAAAAAGAAAAGCTAATAAAATAAACATTAAAAGAAAAAATACATGGATAAAAGTTACAGTGCAGTCAATTAAATATTAAAAGAAAAAAAAGTACATGGATAAAAGTTACAGTGCAGTCTAAGATATGAATAGTTCAATTAAAAGCAGCGACAAAAAGAAAAGTCTTCAGCCTGGATTTAAAAGTAGTCAGAGTTGTAGCGGACCTGCAGGTTTGTCGGAGCAAGAACCGCATACGTTACGCTTACGTCGAAGGCATGGGCAGGGGCGGGATCAACCTGACCAATGTTTTACTGTTTTGTATGCTTTGTTTTATCTATTTGCCTGTACAGCACTTTGGTCTGGAGGTTTAAAGTGCTTTATAAATAAAGTTGTATTGTATTGTAATAACAGTTTATGGCGATTAAGGCAAATGAAAGTTGTAACAAGCAAAGTGACTAGAACACAACCACACACTTATTAAAACGAACACACTTTATAAAGTCAGGCAACACTAACCAGGCTTCGTGTGATTCTGTTTATTTGTACCTTACTTTGACCATCCGTTCACTTTTATTGATCATTGTGGAGAGAGGCAGATCATTTTTCCGAAATAAGGTCCCATGGAGTTCCACCGGAAAGGGAGGGATTTCGGCTCTCTATTTTGGAAAAATTATGTATTGAAGTCAATGGCGAGAGAAAAGTTATCTTTCGATCCCGTTTGAATTGAGCCATGTGATTAAAATAATTTCCAAGTCTAATTTAACAATTCAAAAACGTTTTATTTGTGTCATAATTGCAGACAAGTACTAACTCCTACAAAAAGCTCAGATCTTATGACACAATGTGCCTTTAGCTTGTATTAAGGCTGCTTCATAAAATGTTGAACATCCTCTTATCTGTTCACGTCCCTCCCCATGTGTCCCAGTGTTTTCTGAAGCCCCTCCAGCACCCCCACAGGACATCCAGGTAGATAACTGGCTGCTGAGATGGAGTCCTGACCCTGACGACGGAGATGTCACCTACACCGCTCAATACAGCAGGTGAGCTCTGATGGTGGGGGCCTTATGCAGTGTGCCAATCTACACCCTGCATGAGGAGCGATCAGTAAGATTCTTTGTTGTCTGTCATATCTGGACATATGTTAAGATTCAAAGGCTTTAATGTCATATGCACAATAGCCACAGTGCATTTGTTGGCAATGAGCATCTCAAGTCCCAGGCTCCTCCAACAGCGCAACATAAAGTAATATACATAAAAGAGGAAGTAAATGTGCAGTATAAAAGTGCAAGTGACACAATAATGCATGTAAAATGCAGGAATATTGATTATTTTTCCCTTCTGTAGAATTATACTTTTTCCACTAAATATCCATATATCTACTATTTATAGACAGATTTATTATTTGTTGTGAAACAGCTCACAGACAGTGTTTTTCTTAGTAGTTATCATGACATCATGACAGAACTAATGGTTTCTCCTGTTTCTTTTTCTCAGCTTTGACAGTTGTGTGTGGACAGATGTTCCATACTGTGTCCATATATCTTTAAATTCCTGCAATGTCAGTTCCATCAAAGCTAGGAGTGAGTACGGCTGTGTGATGCTGCGTGTGCAAGCAGAGAGGCATGGGCAGAACTCCCCATCAGTCCAAGCCTGTAGCAAACATGGTAAGAGCACCACCTACCATGTAAAGAGGGCGCTGTGGATCGCCATGATAGCATTGTTCACACTGGCTCAGTGCTGCGAATGAGATATGTTGATATTAAATGGTGGCCTATGATCTATACAATTCAAATGTTGGTTAGAGGGAAATATTTTCAGTGGACATTATAAATAACAGCAGACTTTAGCATGAAGAAATCCTTTCAATTCCCAAATACAGTAAACACTGATCTCTGTCTTGATTTTATCAACACTCAACCTGTTTATTGTGCTCTTCCAGGTCACCTCTGTACTCCGGACTTTAGTCTCACTGCGAGTCCTGGCTCCCTCACTGTACATTTGAGTAGGAACACCACTTTTCTTCGGGAACATGCCGACCATGCAAAGTACAGGGTTTACTATGGCAAGAAAGGAGAGGCCCTCCAGGTGAGGAACCTTGTCAGTTATGGCGCATTTCCACTACAGCGCGGTTTAAGCGTGCCGTGCCCGGCCCGTGTTTGGTTGCGTTTCCACTAGGCGTAGTTCCGGCTAGCGGGTACTTTTTCACAGTTTTTCTAGCTCTCCAAAATCGAGGTTCTTTCCGGGCCAACAACCAGGCTGAATATGCTAAACTAGAGAGAGAATCGCTGGCAACTACAACAACATGAACATATTTGACCGTGATGTAATTGTAATACACGTTTCTAAATGATGCCGAAGTAACAACATACTGATACCGGTTAGTAAAAACCATGAATTAATGCTTTGACAAGTCTGCAGACAGACGGCAGAGAAACACCTTTTTAAAAAGCGTGTTTTCTGAATGGAGTTCGGCTAAGCTAAAGCAGTAAATGCTCCGACCGTCCACACTCACAACAACGGCCTACAGACATAAATAAACCAGCGACTGTATTCACCATGACACAGACAGTCTGTGGTTTGTACTTGTTTAACTTTTGTCTAGTTTCTGAACAGATATGAGGAGCTGTGAGCTCTGAGTGCTAAGAGCTAACGGCTGATGTTGGTTTTGTGTTTCGCATTGAAGATGGCATCACGGCTCCGCCTACACTGCGTTACTATAGTTACTACCCCAGTTCCTAAACTGTAATGGAAACGCAGCATAAAGTGTGAGCCGTGCGAGGCCCTGCAGTGGAAATGCACCATTAGACACCTGCTTTTGCTACCTGTTTCACTTTGTAGGTCATCTAAGACTGTTTTCACACTAAGCTGGTTCATTTTCGAACTGCTGTTTAGGTGTTAACATTTTTGTGAGGATCTCCTTTTACAATAAATAAAAGGCTTAATCTCCTCTTCCTGTCGACAACAGCCAACATGAGATCAGCATTGGGAAGGACAGACTTGCTACTGTCTCTGCCATCACCTGCCTGTGTGCTGTGTTTTTAAGCCAATTTCACTATGTATGATGATTAGTGTTTGGTGGTGGCTCATAAATGCTAACCGTGTCAACAGCTCCATTGACTAATCATGATAATTAATGATTGAATACAAGGTAGACAGTTGACAGGAAAGGAAGGAAAACAGACTGAGAACAAAGGTGTGCAGCAGGTTGACATTGTGTTTCACAGTCAAGGCTTTGAATACCTAAATTATCTTTTTCGTTTGTCAAGAAATCCATCTTACTGGACAGAAGGCCAAAATGCAGAATACTTTCCAATTTATCTGGCTCAGTATTCCTCCAATTCGTATGGTTTTACTTAAGGGTAAAACAGAGGGACTGCCTCCACATGGCGACTGCTGAGCCAGAGGATAACAGCTAACAGTGCTATCAAAAGCGTATAGTGCTTGCAGTGCTAACAACAGCAACAGTGTTTACATGAGGGGGAACCGCACGCTTGCCACTACATTTATAGACATTGAGCGAACCCGCTGTTTGAGCACAGTGCAGAGCTTGCCCTAACATGTGCTCACTGCACTCAAATGTGCTAAAATGCACCACCCAAATGGACTAAGGCCGGAGTGTGGCCTAAACCCTGGAAGGAAGCAGGCTCACCTCTTGCGTCGAGTTCCCTTCAGCGAGGCATTTCTCTTCATTTTGTACAGAGTCCGGCAAACGCCATTATCATTTAATATGTTTATCAATGAAAATGAAAACAAAAATGATCATTCTATCTTGTATCGCAAATATCAGTCATAGTAGAAATAAGTCATAATAATGGCAATTATATATTTAATTACATTTGTTCATCACTAAAGGAAATATTGGCCTTGTATGTGTAAAATGCAGTGATATTATCCAAACGCTTTGCACTCTTATGCAGGATTATAAAGATGGTCCGGCCTCAGTGACCATTGATGAGCTGCAGGAGGGACAGCGGTACTGTACTAGGGTGCAGTACCTGTATTTCAAACAAACCGAGGGACTACCCACCTGTACCCAGTGTGAGCTCATCCCCGAGTCAGGTAAGGACATGGTAGTTTTTCAGCCATGCAAAGCCAGTGTTCAGGCATTAAAGAAGCACATTGGCCGCATTACTTTGGTTGGCTTCTGCAGTTTTCCAAAAAAGTTCCCCCGTTTTTATGGTTGTGCAATTTCAGATGAACATTCCTTGCCATGGAAGCTGGTATTATTTTACAGATTTTTAAATATTCCGCTGAAATGTACTCCTTTTTGAGTATCATATCACTATGTTGCCCCTTTCCCACCAAAACAGTTCCAGGGTCAGTTCAGAGCTAGTGCCCGATTAACAACCGGTTCTTCCTGTTTCCACCGCAGCAGGGCCGGCTCTCATCTGGCTACTTCGGAGGGGGCACCAGCGCTGAGCAAAGTGACTAGAGCCACACAAAACACACTTCTATAAAGCCAGTCAACACTAACCAGGCACAGTGTGATGCTGTGTGTTTTTACCTTACTTTTATTGACCATTTGTTCTCTGTTATTTCCCGTCTTGAAGATCAGCACACTGCCTCATACGATTGTTGTTTTTTTATTATATCAGCGGGTGAAGTCAGTCATCCGCTGGCAGGCTACACAAGTTAAATCATAAAGAAAAATAAGCCGGTAAAATGTGTCTGTGGAAAACGGCTAATGCCACAATATGATAACAACCATCAGTCAATATAGTCACATTAGCTTAGGTTGCTATGCTAACATCACCTGTCTTATACCAGAGACACTTTAATAACAGTGTTGTGATGCCAAACAGCGTCAATTCAGACTGACACACATTCACTTATGGGGGGGGGGGGGGATACTATGAATACTTTCCAGCGGAAGCTGCCGTGAATTAGAGGTAGACTAAACTCCAGTGGACGAGCAGCACTGCAGCGGTCGGTAAATGCTGCTGAACCACATTAATAAACAATGAACCACGGCACTCTGGAGAAAAGTACAAGGGTTGAGAAGTCGTTATTTAATTTAATCTGGCTTCGTATGATTAAAAGCAACACGATCATCGACCCGACGCAGAAATAAATCGGCAACGCAAACGGTGATGTCATGACGACGCAGCACCAGTCGTGCTCTGAGCGGTGGAAACACACCTGGGGCTAAAAAGAAGAACCGGTTCGGAACTGGAACTGGTTTGATGGTAACGAGATAGAAATGTGGCTCTGAAACAGCAGAAGCACTCAAGATATCCTCCACAACATATCTTCATCTGTGCTTGTAATTTATTGGCAATGCAACATGAAAATCTTCTTCTGTAATTTTAAAACTACTGAACTGTGTGTGTGTGTGTGTGTGTGTGTGTGTGTGTGTGTGTGTGTGTGTGTGTGTGTGTGTGTGTGTGTGGTGTGTGTGTGTGTGTTGTGTGTGTGTGTGTGTGTGTGTGTGTGTGTGTGTGTGTGTGTGTGTGTGTGTGTGTGTGTGTGTGTGTGTGTGTCAGACTCCAGACGGACAGTCACCATAGTCTCTTTGGTGCTTGTGGGCGTCCTGCTCCTTGTGTTTCCTGTGATAGCGTACTTCTTCCTCTTCCAGCGTGAGAGATTCAAACGTTGGTTGCAACCTCGATACACGTTCCGAGAACACGTAAGCACAAACACTTAAACACAACCCCTCAATCACACTGTACACACTGTTTCAGACAGCAAATATACAATGCACACACAGCAAATCAACCAGCAGCTGGCTGGCCTCTCTAATCGCAGCTCATTGAAACTGCCAGAGATGGACATCGGAGCTTTGTAAGAATTGCATTTTTCAATTAGTCAATTGGACTGAGAGCTGTTCTGTTCAGAAAACTACTCAGAAACCCCCCCACTGTCAGTTTCAGCAGGAACAGTTTGTTTGGCCGGTAAAGTTTCATGAGGCTCTAATTATCCTAAATGAGATCGTAGAAAGCCAGATTAAATTAAAGAACTACTTCTCAACCCTTATACTTTTCTCCAGAGTGCAGTGGTTAATTGTTTATTAATGTGGTTCAGCGGCATTTACCAACTGCTGCAGTGCTGCTCGTCCACCGGAGTTTAGTCTACCGTTAACTCAAGGCAGAGTCCGCTGTAAAGTATTCACTGTCTGACTGTCACACAGCAGCTGATAAATATCCCTCTAGTCTAGTCACTTTGCTCAGCACCCCTGGCCCGCCTCAGACATAAGCGCAACGTATTTTATCTATTTATATCTTGGTTCTTGACGGGCAGTCGAGTGGGGCCAGATAAGACCGGGGCCGCTGTGTTGGAAACGGAAAGAACCGGTGCTTAATCGGGCACTAGCTCCGAACTGACCCTGGAACTGCTTTGGTGGGAAAGGGGCATCACAGATCTTGAGGTGAGGGGTGAATATGGCCTCAGTGTTTTCCCTATATACAAATGGCGCCGCTGCTAATAATTTTTTTTATTAAAATAATAAGTGGCAACCCTTTTTCATTTTTGATTGTTTGTTATGTGGATTTGTAGTATTTGTGTTCAATAAAGGTGTATTTTTGCTAAATCTTGAGACATTGCCACTGTATGTACTAGGCAGGGCCGATTTTTGGCATAGATCTGGGAGGCGCTGCACTGGTAGCTCTGGGAGGGGAAAAAACATTTTTGACCGTTGGCGCTCATCCTAATTTTCGGCCTTGATGTAACAATATTCATAATTAAGTAAATGTAACACCCTTTTAACTCCGGTTACACTTTTAATTTGCCCTGTACGATGGGCGCTGTAAGTGATGAAAGTGGGGGATGTTGGCTTATCAGGCGCCATCAGCTCACAGCCAAAGTGCGAGGGAGCGAGCGAGTGAAGGAGAGAGAGAGGGTGCACCGGTAATGGCGCTGTTGTTATTAGAATCTGGTGCTAGCTGCGCTAACATCTACTTCTATAAGAAGTAGATGTTTCTACAACCAGGGTGGAGGAGAGCTCTCCTGTCAGTGAGGTAAAGGACTCTCTGAGTGTTTAGATCAGGGGTGGGCAAACTTTTTGGCTCGGGGCCACTATGAGTTTTAAAATTTGACAGTAGCAGATCGGTGAAAAAATATTTAGCTGTCCACTCCTCATTATACACTCTGCACTCATTGTCGACTTTTCTTTTCTTTGGTCCACTCATTGTTACAGATGCAGGTTCAAAGGTGAATTAGGTTCAAAGGTGAATTATTGCGTCATTACGTCATCGTTTGCGTCATGACGTAACCGTTTACGTGCTTTCTTATGACCCACACAGCGTTTTACGGCGCTGATTTTCTCCGCAACACCGCTCACAACAACATCAATATAGGACTGCGTCGGGTAGTTTTTAATTATACGAAGCCAGATTAAATTAAAGAACTACTTCTCCAACCTTGTACCTTTCTCCAGAGTGCCGTAGTGCATTGTTTATTAATGTGGTTCAGCTGCATTACCGCCCGCTGCAGTGCTGCCCGCTGCAGTGCTGCTCGTCTACCGGAGTTTATTCTCCCGTCAACTCGCGGCAGCGGCCGCTGTAAAGTTTTCATTGTCTGACTGTCACTCAAGCAGCTAATAAATATCCCCATCAGTGAATGTGTTTTAGTGCTGCTTGGCATCACAACGCTGTTATGAAAAGTTTATGAAAGTTTCTCTGGCATTCTACAGGTGATGTTAGCATAGCAACCAAAGCTAATCAGACTATCTTGACTACTTGTTGCTATCATATTGTGGCATAAGCCGTTTTCTACACGCATATTTTACCGGCGTAGTTTTCGTTATGATTTTACTTGTGATGGCCACATGTAGCCCATGTATTGATTCCATCCGATAGCTGCAATAATACAAAACAAAAGGAAAACGACTGCCTCTTCACAATGGTCAATAACAGAGAACGGATGGTTATTAAAGTAAGATAAAATAAACAGAATCACACTAAGCCTGGTTAGTGTTGCCTGACTTTATATAAGTGTTTTTTATAAGTGTGTGGTCGCGTTCTAGTCACTTAGCTCAGTGCTACTGCTTGTTACAACTTGTATTCGTCGTACTTGCCATGAACTGTTATTGCTCAGGTTAATCTCGACCCCCTCCAATGTAAGCGTGACGTATTTGGTTCTTGGATCTTGCCGGGTTGCCGAGTGGGGCCAGCTGAGAGAATAGGCCAGACTCCAGCAAAGGTCAATTGTGTCTAGAGTGCGCCATCTAGTGGGATCAACTGAAATGCCGGGTATTGCAGGAAAAAGACAAAATGAATGCGGTCTTTACTATAATTTGGACAAATTTGTACCAATATTCGGCGGGCCGGATTCAAAAGCCCAACGGGCCGTATATGGCCCGCGGGCCTTAGTTTGGCCATGCCTGGTTTAGATAGTTAATTTTAGTCTAAGTTATCTCAGTGGGTCTCAAACGTTTTGACCACAAATGATGTAAACACATATTTCCAAGGCACCCCTTTATAATTATTAGAATGAATAAAAACAGATTTGAAATCATTCCAATGTATACTATAGGACAGTAAATCAAAAATATCGTTTAAAGTTGGAGAGATACAAATTATGCATAAATAAATGTTAACTAGGTAAAATAAGATATGAATGAACGAACAAAAATAAAATAAGTTACATTTATTTGTTACTGGTTATGTTCATATACTTATTTAATTATTAAAATGTAAACCGATCTTTTTCATATGGGTGTTTTAGAGTTGTACCCCCTAGATCAGGTCTCTAGTAATTGTGTGCTCAAAGTGCACCAGATTGAAGCATTTTACTTTACCCCCGGACCCCCCTAGAGGATGTGACGTCCACCCCCCAATTCAAACATGTTGATACAATACTGAATACATTTGAAGCCATTTTGACGTATATTACTCTATGTCAATAAGTTTCTGTTTTTCTAGTGTATTTGTCTTTTGTAGAGATTTTTCATTTATTCTTTATAAAATCTCGCCTAGGGCATCAAATTGGCTAGAACCGGTCCTGGTACTAGGCCTCAAGAGCCTTTCTTGTGCTGGCAGACACATATGCCCCTTTCACACCAGCGCTTTTTCAGCTCCGGCTCGGAGCTGGAGCCTGAAAAGCGCCGGTTTTTCCTGTTCACACCGCAGCGGCGCCGGCTCTTAGCTCCGGAATCGGGTTCACTTCCAGCTCCAAAAAATGGTCAGTCTAGAGGCAAGAGCTTCGGAGCTAAGAGGTGGCGTCGCTTACGTCTCTCTTACGTCGAGGCGTGCAGGAAACTAAACCCACCTCCCCTGAACATGGGTCGACTGTCATGCCTGCCTACAAGCAGTAGTGCTTATAAACACACTTTATAAAGTCAGGCAACACTAACCAGGCTTCGTGTGATTCTGTTTATTTGTACCTTACTTTGACCATCCGTTCACTGTTATTGATCATTGTGGAGAGAGGCAGACGTTTTGTTTTGTATTATAGCAGCTATAGGATGGAATCAATACATGGGCTGCACAGGTTGTCATGTCCGACTATCACAAGTAGAATCATAATAAAAATACGCCGGTAAAATGTGCCTGTAGAAAACGGTTTATGCCACAATAGGATAGCAATAGCAAGTAGTCAGTTTAGCTTCGGTTGCTATGCTAACATCACCCATTTTATACCAGAGAAACTTTCATAACAGCGTTGTGATGCCATACAGCGTCAATTCAGACTGACACACATTCACTTAGGCTAAGGGGAACTGGGGATATGTATCAGCTGCTTGTGTGAGTCGGACAGTGAATACTTTAGAGCGGCCGCAGCAGTGTGAGCTAACCGGGAGCTAACGGAGGAGAATAAACTCCCATGGAAGAGCAGCCAGTGGTCGGTAAATGCTGCAGAAACACATTAATAAACAATGAACCACGGCACGCTGGAGAAAAGCATAAGGTTGGAGAAGTCCTTATTTAATTTAATCTGGCTTCGTGTGATTAAAAGCAACACGATCATCGACCCGACGCAGTTCCCCGTTGTTGTTGTGAGCGCCGTAACGACGTTGGGGAGCAAATCAACGATGTAAACGATGACGTCATGACGCAGCAGCACCAGTCGGGTGCTGGGCGGTGTGAACAGAGCGGGAGCAGAAAAGGGAAACCGGAGCTGAACCAGAAAAGCTCCCGCTCGGAGCTAGAAAGGGAAAAGCGCTGGTGTGAAAGCCGCAATAGAAACAAATTGGCGGGGCGCACTTTGCACGTGCACACACTAAAAAATTCCACGCGCTCCACGCTCACATTATGCTGGGCCCACGGGCCTTAGCACCGCTGCTATGACTCCATCCTAGGGGAAACACTGGGCCTGTTTACCCTCACTGATACATTTCTTAGGTTTTATGCCTTCATATGATGCCACTATCTCCACAATAACCTTGTTTTTTCTTTTCTTCTAGTTATTCGAGCCAATTCCTGAGCCCTTCCTTCCCATCCACAGCAGCACTGAGGAGCACTATGATGTCATTACTTCCATGTCCCCAGTAGAGCTCAGAGAATGAAACTGTTTCTGCACTACTCTTCCTCTAAGTGGCCTTCTTATTTTGTTATGTGGCGATTAGACCTAAACACTGAGCTGTAGGGAGACACTCTGCTTCTCCCTTAGGACAAACGTTCTGCTGGGATGGATTTAAACTCATTACAAGTGAGGATTTGATGTCAGGTTGAAATGTGATTGCTGGGTAGAGGGTATAAGGTCTAGATTGAGTAAACAAGCTCCCCACTATTACAATCCACCTTAATTCTCTCTTCAATGTGGCTTCAATGATTTTAGGGAATTACAGACATAAGGACTTATTGGCAGAATTTCTGAACCTTGGAATGAGCATCCATCTTTTTTTAAATGCCAACAGGAGAACAATGTCAAAAATTGCACCGGGACCTACAGAGAACATTTTTCTGTTAAGATCAACGATTAAACCCTTAACCCCCCCCCCATGTTGAGATAGTAATCATATATTGCTTTATAGGCATTCATTTACCACATTAAAACACTCATGGCATTACCTCAGGTTGCCTTGGTTTAACTAACCGCAACCATGGAAACGAGAAGATTTAGTCTGAAACTTTATGAAACCATTACTAACGGCTTCAGATTGGACTGAGACATGCCCATGGCTGGAAATATAACTGGCATTTAATACTAAATCAGGTATGGTGAAGATGAAATGACATAAGAACCATTGGCAAAGAGCTGTTTATTCCCTAAAGCAGAAACAATTGAGTGATCATCTTAATTCTGGAAGAATACTAAACCTTACTCTGGCCCCTCCTGGACATGAGACACAAAGGCTGCGTTTCTGTTGATTGTCTACCAGTGTACGTTTTCTGATCATGATGTTGCTTTTGTCTGATGCTCTTTCTTGGTCAGCATCAAGTACTTTCTTTACTAATCTCAGCATTGCCAAGAGTGATTTTTACTTCTTGATCATTATGTGTATGATGCTTAACTTTACTGACTCGCAATAAATGACTTAATGTAAAGCGTAGAAAGCATTGGGATCCAGTCTCATCCGGTTGGTGACGTCCTGTCCCTGTGACTTCTCTGCCTCTGCTGATCATTCACACCACACTGTCCACAGCTTTCATACTTCTAAAGGAGAAAGCTCCTGAGTACTGTCTGATTAACTGGTACACAGTTTCTGAAAGGACCCATTGTATTTACATAAAAACTTTAAGCACCAGAAACAAACGTCTAGTCCGGTCCATTGTGCTGCAGACTGCTATCAGATAACAGCAACACGTCATACCACTGACTGAAGGTAATGAGAACAAAAAGCATGGTACCATCTGTAGCTTACTTTCACAGATAATACCACATCTACTATGTTGACAAAGACTGCTACACACACTTGTTCTTTTGTTGCATATCATTCGTAATATGTATGGAATTAATCCTAGTACAAAGTAAAGATCCACCACCCAGCTGGTCGATGGAGCAATGTCCAATCAGAGCGTTCCATGATGTCAGTCACACACCCGCCTCCTCAGATAGATGTGTTGTTGGTAGAGAGTAGGGGCTTTGCATGTACTTATAAACTCTTCTTGGTTCTAGCGAATTGGCTACATATGAAATCTAAATCTTTTCACAGCACCACTGTGATTTATTAGATCTTTGTCTTGTATACAATTGTAATTTGCTTTGATTTACTTTAGATATGGTGTGGTGTGTGTCAGTGAAGTAGATTCATCCTTCGGGTATCTTGAATACTGGCTCTAGCTCTTTGTCTCTGGACTGAGGTGAATTAAGGTCGGCGCACGTGAAGCTGATGAGCAGAGGAGGAGATACAACTACAACTCCCATTATATCAGCATTGTAGCCTACAGTGATTCAAAACGACGCCGACGACGCTCTATAAATAAAGAAATGTGTAACTCAGAATTTAAAGGGAAAAACACAAAAGCATTGTACACAATTAAAACCAATGAATGTCGTGTAATTAACAAGGACAAACTGATATATTTTAGTTGAGTACATGCAGATATCACTGTAAAATCAATCAACAGTGACGAGATTACTCACGGCTGTATGAAGCCAGAGCTGCGTAGGTTACCTAGCAACCACATTACTATGAAAACGCAGACACCTGAAATACTGTTTTCACTCCGAGAGATAACGATAACTTTACATGGACACCGGTCAATCTAAAACCTTTTTATGAACATACGTAGTATATATTTTCTACGGAACCTCTAAAGCAGTGGTTATCAAACTTTTTTCAATAATGTTGAATTTGAAAAAAAAATTCAGCCAAGTACCCCCTGATCAGCGCAAACACAATTTGTTAAGGAAAAAATGCCTATATAAAGAGGTACAGTGCAGCGCTGCACCATCGGTGTCTGATTTATTAAAACAAAATTGTAACTGAGAAACACTTAAATGCTACATTTCAAATGTTTACAATCCATCACTAAATTCATGACAAACCAATTTTAACATCATGCAATAACACTGAGACGACATTAGTTGCATTGAACTGATCTTTTTAATAAGTTGTAGGCCTACTTACAATTTAGTGAGAAACTTGTGCTTCACTGAGGATCTTTGTCATTCTGACAGGGAGGCAAACTGCAGTTATTACACTTTGCGTTTTGAAATATGTGTAACTCTGTTCATATAAAACACACACTGCTCAAACTTCGTTACTTTTCCTAAAATTGGTATATTTAATTATTTATTTATTTAGGGGCGTGTGGAATGAAGAGAAAAAATATATGAGCATTTTATGAGCATGGGATTTTGACCCCTCATATAAACATATGCATAATGCTGCGCTATACTTTGCGGCCACACGCCGTTGTCAAGCAACGGTTATTGTTTAGTTCAGGCATCCTCAAACTACGGACTCCGGTCCGGATCCGGACCGAACCAGCACTGTCTCCGGACTCTGAGCAAATTATACTTTTCATATGTATGATCTCTCTGTATTATATGTGAGACATCGCCACAACGCATTCGCAACGAGTCAAAATTCTCCGCTATGTCCACTGCAAACAGCGCTCTGCATGTCTGACTGTTCCACTGTGTTCCACCTGTGTGTGTCAACGCTTTGGTCCAATCACATTCAGCATCCAGTCAGCGTGTTTCCCCCCAAACAATCTGCGAATCAGAGGCACAGTAGGGCGGGTCTTCGCGGAATGCGGGTGGGAAAAATGTGTGTGTCTCTTTCAACCTGTCTAAGTCAGAGCGAGAATTAAAACAAAAACAAAAAAAATTCAGAGCGAGAGTTAACAGCTCATCTAGTTCCATCTGTACTGTAGCTAGTAGCCTAGTTTCACCTACCGGGGTGGCAACTGACACCCTAAAAATAGCCTTGCCACCCCAGCTGCCACCCCAGCTGGCAGCTTTGTTTTGAAAGAAAAGTTGTGGCTCATCGGACATTTATGAGAGAAAGTCTCTAATGTCCGAGTGCAAGTGAATGCAGCACAAGATGCACGTCATGTAACCCCTCCCCCGGTCCTGGCGCGAGCGTGGACATACGATTTGGCGGCGATTTCATTTTTAACTGGACGGCGCAAAACGAGAAGCATTCGGACCCAAGCACTGAAGGAATGAGGTATTTGCGGTCTACACTGACAGAGAAGAGAATGTCAGTTTGGCTGTACTCAGCATTGAATCAAAACGCACTGAAGCTGTTGATCTTAATACGTTTGTGAGGCGTTTCGCTGAACAAAATGGTAATCGCCGCATTCAGCTGTAATAGACATGTCAACTTGATGCTCTGCTCACGGATGAGCATACACAACTATTAAGATGATGACCTTACGTGTGTAAATATATTGTTTTCTTTGAGGGGGTCTGCCCCCAAAAAACTGTTTTAAGTCCTGAGAAAGTCAAATAAGACGGTGTTTAAAACTACACTGCCCAGCCAAAAAAAAGTAACCACTTTGATTGAACTAGGCCAGTAGGTAAGGGCTTTCCACTGGATAATAACTGCAGTATAAAAGAATGCATGACTGAAGTGATGGACACCATGTTGAAGGCAAACAAAAAGAGGAAATAACAGGTCAAAGCAAATCTCCCTCTCAGATTCCACAGCAACCAGAAGAACATAAAGACTGGCTGGTGATTTGATTCATCAGCTTTGTGATGGAATAAAAAATGCACAGTGCATTTCCTTAGCTGTGGGTGAGTCCACTGACACCACTGACAATGCTCAGTTGCTGGTGTTTGTGAGTTTTTATGATGAGGCAAAGGGTGAGTTTGTTGAAGATGTGTTGGGCCTGACGAACCTCAGTGGACACACAAGGGGGCAAGACATTTATAAAGCAATAATGGGAACGCTGAATGAAAGAGGGCGCAGAGGCCTTTATTCATAACTGTGCAGCTCTGACACTGCGACTCTGAGGGATCAAGCACTGACACAATAACAATGAAAACTGCTGCATACAGATTATTTTTGTTTTTGCAACCTCGTGTTAAGAATCTTGTTGCAATTGTTTAAAAGTTTGAATGACCGTAATAAACGGACCTTTGTCTTATTGAAACATTTATTTTGGACCTTTAAGATTTGTATTTGAGTACCCCTGGTTTAGTTCCTTTGATAAGCAGGCAGTCATATAATTAACTAGAACTAGCTAGATCTGATAGATTTGGACATAAACGCGAGTGAAGTCTAACCGGACACGAGAGAGAGATCAGATCAGCTGCTGCTGACGGACAACACGCAGCTCTGCATGATCACAGCTCCGCCGCTGTGACGGACCGTTGAGTGGAGCAAAATTAAATACACTAAGAGTTAGACCTAACACACTTAGCCAGTTTATCTACTCTGGAACTAGCTAAACTAGTTATAAATATATGTATTCTTTACTGTCGGGTCACTTATTACAGGTTCAGCGAGCTGCACGAGACTGACGGGCTGTCAGGAGAGGGAGAGGAAAAGAGAGCACCCCGTTTATTTTTCCCATTTTATTATCCAGAATTACTGTAAATCTTTGAATAAAGTAGTTCATCTACTATTAGTAGTTTGTTTAAATGCATTACTTATGTTTTTCATTAACATAAAATAAATCTCACGTACCCCTAGGGGTCCGCGTACCCCCATTTGAGAACCACTGCTCTAAAGAGATATGAAAAAAAAAGAGAGAGAGAGAAAAAAAAAAGTCGGGATAGAGCATGGGAGCCTGCCTGCCAGCAGTGCCAGTCGGAAAACAAAGAGTGGAACAGGCGAGCAAGTGTGTAGGTGTGAGTCATATGAGAGGCCCCGCCTTACATTTTCCGCCACAGATTTGGGGAAATTGGTCCGTGCGTGTGGGGATTGAAAGACCGCGGAGTCTACACATGTGCAGCCTCGAAATGTCTCCAAACGAAGTACGCCGGGCTCGGTAGAATTCCAAGTATGCTGGACATTGGAACGGTACTTCGGCGGCACTCGATGACGTAGTATGCTTGAAATAGTGGCTCTGGAGCAGCTTTACTCGAGATGGAGAAACACCTCTCTACTCTGAGGACACCTCCACTCTCAGGACAGGAAGTGCATGCACACTAACAATTACAAAATGAAATCGCCACTATCAGCGTCACTTTCTGAACAGGAAATGCACACAAATACAAAATAAAATCGTAGGCCTACTGGCACTTATTACATAGCCTATGTATATATATATATATATATATAAATAAATAGGGACACCTTGTATTGTTTACTCTCAGTACAGCACCACTTCCCGAACAGGAAATGCACGCTAATACAAAATATCTATATAGATATTTATATATATAAATAACGATATCTTGTATTTTAGTTACACCCGCTAGACAACAGTGGAAGGTTCGAGAAACAACCGTGTTGGGTGCACCGCGGTGGAGGTGGGGAGGTTCCAGCCGGGAACCTCCACCCCGCTGCGGGACCCGTGGTGTTGTTATTAGAATCTGGTGCTAGCTGCTCTAACGGATATAAGAAGATGTTTCTACAATGATGTGGAGGGAGAGTCCTCTCCAGTCAGACTGAGAGGCTGATAACTACAGCTCAGTGAGGTAAAGAACTCTGAGTGTTTAGATAGTTCACTTTAGG